CTTGTCAAAGCCCCTCAGGAAAAAAAAAATACATTTTGGGCAGCAAAACTGGCTTCTTGGCTATGCCAATTTGAATGCCAAGGAATTGCCACCCTGGTTTAGGAGTGGTGCCACTTTTCCTTTGCACCAGTGTCATTAGTTACCCCACAAATCTATGATGAAATGATGAAACACTTACAGCGCAGCCGGAGCCCCACAGTGGTGGCTGTATATCCCCATAGTCAATTCCTGAAGCCAGGTTTCACTGGGAGCTTTAGCTGGGCCTCGGGGAGGAAGGAGGGTCTAGGGAGATGATAATAGTCAGCTCACATGCTATCAGCTACTACTATAAATTTTGATGTCCTGTCTGTCTATACTGCAGACCAAGGATGTTGTTTTAGTCATTCTTCAATAACTGGCACAATCACCCACACCAGAACAATCAGGCTTTGATTCAGTGAGGTGCTTAAGAACATGCTTCTAGTCTGGGAACTGGGTGGTAACTGAAGTCCATTAACTCTTAGGGAACACTTAAGTAGCTCACTGAATCAAGGATGGATTTTTGTTTCTTGTTGATAGTATTATTCAGGTTAGATTCCTGATCACTGTTGTTTTAATATTAATTAAATATATGCAATTGCTGCAGATCCATGCTGAGTTAACTCAGATGAGAATCTGACCCAGAACTTCTTACGGTAAGAAAAGGTAAAAGTGAATTTTTCCCCCCCAAGATATATAAATTCAAAACTGAGAAGAAAAAAAATTGTGTACAAATATCACATAACAACATCAACAATTCCATAGATGTAGTTCCTCAGTGCACACTTGAAACAAGAAAAGGGTTTTTTTTGTTCTTTTTCTGTTTTGCTTTTAAAGTCTAGCATAATAATATTAAAGCTGACAAAAAATCAGGGCAAGCTACGTCACTTCCTCATACAAAAAAAGTACAAAACATTAGCCTCTAACTAGACATAACATAATACTAGTCGTCACAGTTAAACATTTAGTAACTGTGTGTCTTGAAGTATTTTACTGGAGGGTAGTAAAAAATAGCTTCGGCTGCCGATCTCCCATCTCAGGTTACTTCAGTCATAGAGGCAGAGTGATTCTGCAAAGAGGAAAAGGCAGACACATGAACATTTTTATACAGCAGTCTAGCACTGACATACTCTACTAGTGTGCAAAAGCAGTGGGAAAAACCCTCACAAATAAAACTTGCATGTAGATCTATGGTCAATAATTATACCATATATTATAATTAATTATAATTATACCAGTTCTTAATTATAATTTAAGAAAATTATCTTGTAGATTTCAGTTAGATCAACAGTTAAAGTTCAGTCCCTACCTGCATTTCACAGTCCAGTAGCTATAAACAGTTGACTGGACAAAGTATTTCTCACAGCTCAATATTTTCACCTGCTCAGCCCTTCTGTCTACACAACACAATGTAGATATATAAGTAGCACTTACTTTCTGGACTATAAACCCATCAAGAGAACATCTAATGCACACAGTTCTGCAGATTTAGTGGAAAGACTTCCAGTAAATCTTCGCCTAATCAAAATTGACTTTTCAATTAAGCAAAGGATTTCCAGACATTAGAGACAGTATATTTCCCTTAAAAAAAAAAAAAATCCTCTTTTCAGTTTATTTCACAAAGACTTAACAAAACTTGCTATTGATCTTTCCACTAATCTTGCGTAACAGGCCGTCTAATAAAGGAAGTACAATTGGAAGACCAAATAAATTACATCAGTGTATTTCAGATAACTAATTGGCTACAATTTATCCTTGTTCCCAGAATTTCTGGCAGGTTGCATTTACTTGTCTGTTTTGAAAAGACTGGGTCTGATGCAGTTATGCCAACACAAGCCATTTAAATTGTCGATATTCCCACTAGCTATTTTTTTGCAGGCTTGAAAGAATGCTAATAATTTTTCTTTGGATGACTTAGAAAAGGTATATGATTTCTTCTTATTATAGAAGATACCAAAACAGTAATAAGAATAAAACACCTAATCTCTGTAATATTTTTATTACAGAATAAAACAGACTAGTTTATCCTCAGGAAAGAATAAATCCTTCATACATCCCAAAAGTTTTCTAGAATGTAAATAGGCAGAATTATTTTTACTTTTTTCTCAGTTTTCTATTCTTATAAGGAAACATTTGTGAGGCATGTGAAATCTTACTTCTTTAGCTGTGGACATGTATGGGGGCAGAAGATCTATAGTATTTGGTAGTTTCAGGGATAAATGCGTTAAAACAAACTGCTGTGACACAGTTTCGCTCTGTTCCATGGGCTTGAAATGAGGCACGTGTAGTCAGGTACAAAACTACTTTTTACTCTGATGCAACAGAAAATGTGCTTGGTGATGGTCTGGGTAAGATATTTACAGTACCTGTGCACTCAGTGTCTCTAGAGGACTTTCCACCCTGGGAAAAGCCATTAGTGGCATTCCTCTTGGGTCTTCAGGCTTCGGTTTAGAAGGAGCTGCATGACTGCCCTTAAAATTATGGACAACACATATCCCCTGTGCAATGCAGAAAAAAAACAGAGTGAGGTCAGTATGTTCCCTCCCCAGGAAAAACCTGGCGAGGGAATGAATTACTATGTGGGGCACAGCTGAAATAATTTAACCTGGGTTTGGGTTCAAGGCATCATCTGTGTCAGCCTTGGGATGCAGAGTAGTTACTGACATGGCTGGGCATGATGGACTGCTTTAGTGATGAACCATTCTCACACTGGAAACAGCAGAGACCCCCATATATGCCTTATCATCCCAGAACCACACACTACCCAAATGATGCCCTTAACTGGCTAAATACTCCCTTCAGACTCTTGACTTTGTCTTTTTCAAACAGTGAACATGCTCTGTAGATGGCTGAACCTCCCTCACATCTGGATGGCACCATTTAGCATCATTCCTGCATGCTTCTAGCATCACTACTGTTGTGTTTACCCTTGATTTGTATATTTATCCCTTATGCATGACTAGACTCACAGCACCACTCACATGTGGTGATGGTGATGCCAGTAAGAGCAACCGCAGTGGGTAGCTTGAAGACACGGAAAAAAGAAGGTACACAGGAGCTGACACATTTACTGGTGGAGTGTTTTACTTGCTGGCTGCTCCCCTTCACTGCCATAGACCGAAGCAAGAAGCAGGCTGCAGCCTGGTGGGTCCTGTGCCAGCAGGATCAGTGCCAGAGATCTGACAACACTCCTCTGGGGAGACCCTTTCCACCACTCTGAAATTCAGCTTGTGACACTTGGAGGGTGCCAGAAGGTCTGCAAGGTCAAAATACAGCTGGGGACAGGCTGTCACTGCCACCAACAGGTACTGGGAGCACAGACACTGTCCTGGCCTGATAGATGGGGCAGCTGCCTCTTAAATTGCATGGGTGAGATTTAAACTGCCTTTCCCAGCAGGAACTAGACCAATTATTCACATTAAAGTCAAGGAGATTCAGGTCAGAGGCTGTAGACATATTTTTATCTGAAATGAGCACAGGAATAAATGATGCTTGAAGATTTGTTGATGCTTTTTCAAGTACAGAATAGAAAAAAAAAAAAAAAAAANAAAAAAAAAAAAAAAAAAAAAAAAAAAAGAGCGACAGGACAATCAAGATTTAAAAAAAAAAAAAAAAAAAAAAAAAAAAAATTACAGGGATAAAGTGTCTGTTAAAAAAAAAAAAATAGTTTTGAAGCATATTTTGATTAAATGGAACTAGGCACATTTCTTGGTAATAGTGAGAGTGACCTGGACTGCTTGCTGTGTAAGTAAATCCTCAGCAAGAGACCTATCACCAAACAAAACATTTAAACCACACAGCCCATAGGAGAGACAGTTACATTCAGAGTCTGGAGAGATTCTCTTCCTAGATTCTGTGGGAAGGCCTTTGCTATATTTTAGTATGTTTGTGAGGGGGGAACCATTTCAGGTTTTCTCTAAAAGATGCAAAGGGAGGTAGTTTTATCTCCAAGGGAATTTTATCCTGACTTTCCCTTCTTTTTTGCTTCTTTTATGGTCTGAAACAAAATTGAGAACCAGGATCACAGCTCAGAGCCCCAGATAACACACTGTACCTTACATTTTTGCCAAATACAAGAAAAACA